TCTTAGAATGAATCATGATTTCATAATCTACATAAAAAAAATCTTGCAACCATCATTGTATAAAAAAAATTGTTTGATTTGTGTTGATTCAAAAGACATAGAGTAAATTACAGGTCCCTATGGTTTAGGATAATTTGCATGTTTGGTCCCTAAGTTATTGTTTTAACTGGGAAGGTCTCTACTGTTTGTTTTTGTTACGCGTTTGATCCTTGTCTTATCTAAAAAGACTATTTTGCCTTTGATTTATTTATTTATTTAAATAAACACACCCCCAACCCCACCCCCTTACCTTACCTTACCTACCCCACCATTTTTTTCCTATTTAAATAGCAGTCTTTTTAGGTAAGAAAGAGACCAAGCGCATAGCAAAAACAAACAGTAGGGACTAAGCGCGTAACCAAAAGAAATAGTGGAGACATTCCGAGTTAAAAAAATAAGTTAGAAACCAAATGCGCAAATTACCCCAAACCATAGGGACCATTCGTGTAGTTTACTCAAAGATATGTTAGAACAAGAGTGTCTTGTATTTTTTAAATGATTACTTTAAATTATTTTATTCAAAAAGTTAAATTGTTATAAAAACCATAAAATTGTCATAAATAGTATTCTAGTCGATGGTGTTTGACTCAGATATTTAATGCACTTAACGTTTTTAAGCAAACAACCCACCATGGTAATATTTGGATAATATAATAATCACAAGATGTAGATAATACAATAATTTGAACTTCAACTTAAGTGATATGGTTATAAGAAATCATTTGTGTTCGTTCTGCTTTATATGAGATAAGATTTAGTAATGACTTTATTAAAAATAAAAAACTTAATGGTTCCCTTTTTTACATGATAAACCTTATGAATAAAAAAATAAACCTTATAAATATATTGTTATTTTCGTTTAAAATAAAAGTTATATTGTTATGTATTAATTCGAAACTTTTACGTTTTACCAATTTTTTTAGATGATCTATTGGTATTTCTCAAACTATTCAACACTACTTCCAAACTTGTCATTTGTCAAAACTCAAACTTGAGCCAATTATTTAATTCAAATTTTAAGGGACAAACTAAAAAGAAAATCCGATAACCAGCCAACAACCAAGGGCCAAGGGACAACTTGACTGTCTTATTTAGTAGGCTAGCAACAACCAATGGCAGAAAAATTATTTTTTACGTTTCATTTTATTTTATTAAATAATAAATAAAAGTAGTGATAATTAACGTAAGTCTGTTATTGTTATAATGCATTTGATGAAGGGCTTCTAAAAAAAATCTCTCTTGATCGCATGCCTTCCTTACGGTAAAAAGACATCTAAAATTCATTAGGTGTCCTCTAAAAATTGTAAAAATTAAAAAAATTTCATATGCAGTTAAAATGTAATACACCTTAATTTAAAATTTATAAAGAGTTATAAATTTGGTGTACTATTTGTTAGTTTTGGTCTATAGGAAAAATGGTCATTTTAAAAATGCAACACATGGCTATCAACTTAGACAACATAGAGAATAAAAAAATTATGGAACTTCAAAATACGAAACTATATTGCAACAGATGTTTTAGGGAACAAACTCTGTAAAAATTAGCTATATTCTTGGATCAAACACCTCATATCCATACATTAATAGTATTCTACTTTAGTTTCGTCATAAACTTATTAGTTTAATAGCTTCCTACATTAATAGTATGTTGATCTCAGATGGCGGCCTTGCTGCTCTACCAGATGTTTGTATGGTGACCTCCTGCAAGCACAATCTTGAAAGTTTATAAATTAACTCCATGATTGTTGTAAACATTCTAGAAATATCACCAATCTTGAAAGTTTAGGCTTTAAGCCGACCAAATGTTGCTGCTCAAATAATAACCTAATAATAACATGTAAGAAAAAAAACTAAATCGGAAAAAGAGAGGGTAAGTGGTGTGTTTTAACTAAGAAACATCAACGTTTTAACTAAGATTAAAGATGCAATCCCTGTAGCCATGTAAGGTTATTATTGTAAATTTGTAATTACCTAGTTCTTTTACCACTATTAGGAAATCAACTCCCTTATGTTATATTAAGGAACACCTTCACCTATAATGGCCACAACTCTAATTGCACGTTTTTTAAGAGCAAGCTTAAATGAAGCTGCAACACCGCATAAATTTGTAAAATATTAATAATAGTTAATTACCATAATAAAAAAGAAAAGACAAAACTGCAAATTTTGTCCTTGTGGTTTGCAAAAATCTTTGGATGGGGTCCAAAAAGTTTCCAGCTTGCACAGAAGGTTCAAAATCAAGGTTTTTTTTGGGTTTTTAGTCCAAAAAAACTTGAAAAGACGATTATACCCTTTTAATTTCTTTATTTTATTTTTTACAATTATTCTAATACCATTTTGTCTTAAAAATAAAAGGAAAAGAAATATATTATCCCCCACCCACCCATACGTTCTCTCTCTCTCTCTCTCTCTCTCTCTCTCTCGCTCGCTAACTCCCTTCACCAGTTATGCATCTCTAGCGTAGGAGGAAACCGGTGGAACTAGGAGACCACCAATCGCCACCATCACAGTACTCCTCCTCTTCCTAATATGCTCACCGGTCTTAGCCAAACACCCCCCTTTCATCGTTACTGCTACTGCTCAAATCCATAGCCTACAACAAGAAGGGAAACAGTCGAGTGGAGCACCGAAGCTACCCCCTTCCTCCGTGGCGATTGGTCGAGGAACACCATCCAAACACCCCTAACTCCTTCACTGCCGACGATGAGAAAGGAAGCCACGACGGGCCTACCGGAGACGTCGACTGTAGCCCCTCCTATTGAAGAAGAATCACGCAAATGCTTCCGATGAGGTTTTGTTGTTGGTTGATTTATGTTTGCTGTGTTTGTTGGTTGATTTATGTTTGCTTCGATGAGATTGAATCAATGAATAACTGTGTCTTAAATGAATCTGATTTCTCTGAAAGGTTTCTCGATCCAAATATTGAAAAAGGAATCCCGATTCATTTCTCCAAGAACAACATAAGACCAACATATGT